TATATATATATATATATATATTATTATATATATATATATATATATGTCGTACCTAGTAGCCAGAACGCACTTCTCAGCCTACTATGCAAGGCCCGATTTGCCTAATAAGCCAAGTTTTCATGAATTAATTGTTTTTCGACTACCTAACCTACCTAACCTAACCTAATCTAACTTTTTCGGCTACCTAACCTAACCTAACCTATAAAGATAGTTAGGTTAGGTTAGGTAGGTTGGTTAGGTTCGGTCATATATCTACGTTAATTTTAACTCCAATAAAAAAAATTGACCTCATACATAATGAAATGGGTAGCTTTATCATTTCATAAGAAAAAAAATAGATAAAAATATATTATTTCAGGAAAACTTGGCTTATTAGGCAAATCGGGCCTTGGATAGTAGGCTGAGAAGTGCGTTCTGGCTACTAGGTACGACATATATATATATATAATATATATATATATATATATATATATATATATATATATATATATATATATATATATATATATATATAATTAACTTTTAATTTCAGAACTTTCAGTTCTGGGAGCCACTTAGTAGCATGTCTTTGCACCTTTTCCAGTTTGTTGATGTGCTTCTTAAGATATGGGCACCACACAACCGCTGCATATTCTAGTTTTGGCCTACAACAGTCATGAACAATTTCTTTAGTATATCGCCATCCATGTATTTAAAAACAATTCTAAAGTTAGAAAGCGTGGCATAGGCTCCTCGCACAACGTTCTTTATGTGGTCCTCAGATGATAGTTTTCTATCTAGGACCACCCCTAGATCTCTTTATCAGAATTCTTTAAAGATTTCTCACGTAATATATAGGTTGTGTGGGGTCTATGTTCTCCTATTCCACATTCCATAACATGGCATTTATTAACATTAAATTCCACTTGCCAAGTGGTGCTCCATATACTTATTTTGTCCAGGTCATCTTGAAGGGCATGGCAATCATCTAAGTTTCTTATCCTTCCTAGTCTCTTAGCATCGTCAGCAAACATGTTCATATAATTCTGTATACCATCTGGTAGATCATTTATGTAGACAATAAACATCACTGGTGCAAGAACTGAATCCTGTGGTACTCCACTTGTGACATTTCTCCAGTCCGATACATTCCCTCTGATCACTGCCCTCATTTTTCTATCAGTCAGAAAATCTTTCATCCATGTTAGAAGCTTACCTAACGTAATTATTATTACCTAGAAGCGTATAATTAGAAAACTGCCTACAGAAAACACTCTACATGTATATTATGATGGGTCAGTAGCTAGGGATGGGAAGGCAGGATGTGGAGTCTTGATCAGGGAGTACACTGACATCGGCACTGTAGATACTGTTATTGGACGCCGCTTAACTGACAATGTCTCTTCAAAGCAGGCTGAACTCCAAAGTGTATTAGCAGGATTACAGGAAGTAGTCAAATGTGGTAAAAATGCTTGCTTCTTTATTGACAGCAGAGGAGCGTTAGAGTCTTTAAAAAGCAGACACCTAGTATATCAGAATATCGTGATAGAGTGTAGAGAGAATGTTAAGAAATTAGAAAAAACTGGGTATAAAGTAAGATTCATGTGGATCCCTTCACATGTGGGAATACTGTTGAATGAGGTAGTTGATGACATAGCGAAGAGAGCCACTGAAAAAACTCTTGTTGATGTTGTATGTCAGTTAACCTTGAAACAAATAAAAACAAGAATCAAGATGATCCAAGAGGGTGAAGAAATGATAAAGAGAATGGCAATGGTGGACAGTAGTAACACACTTAAGAATTATTCAATAATAAATACAAATTCGTCCTTCACGTATAGTAAAGGAAAGTCTACTTGGAAGGATTCAATTTACGAGATTAAGATTAGGATACAAATATATCTGGCAATACGGTGTTGATGTCAGTGAAAAAGATAAGGAGTGTAAATTATGTAGTATGCCGCACGCCCACACCTTAGAACATTATGTATTAGAGTGTCAACTTATTGAAAACTATAGAAATAAGGAAATAAATAGTGTACCACATCAAATTGTTTGGAAGTGTGATAATGGCATGATAGACAATATACTTAGGAGCTACAAGAATTTTGCCCCAAGAGTGTAACAATTATATGCTGTACTTACGGTATTAACCTGCAATGTTAAATGGGATTCTTGTAATGTTATTTGTCTATTTGTACTCACTGCATTTGTGCGCCCCTTGAGGGACTTGATGTACAGGGGGGTAGAAATAGCCTAAGCTACTCTATCCCTTTGAGATGTATTTATTGCTTATCTCAATAAACGTACTTGAACTTGAATCTATCAGTAAGAAAATTTTCATCTATGTTAAAAGCTTATGTCACCCCTCCAATATTTTCCAGTTTCCAAAACAACCTCTTATGTGGAACTCTGTCGAAAGCCTTTTTTAGGTCCAGATAGATGCAGTCAACCCAGCCATCTCTTTTCTGTAAAATCTCAGTGGCTCGATCATAGAAACTGAGTAAATTCGATATACAGGATCTTCCAGATCGAAAACCATACTGTCTGTCTGATATTATATCATTTCTCTCCAGGGGTTCTATCCATTTAGTTTTGATTAGTTTTTCCAATACTTTCACTATTACACTTGTCAATGATACAGGTCTATAATTGAGGGGGTCTTCCCTGCTGCCACTTTTGTAGATTGGAACTATGTTAGCCTGTTTCCACACGTCTGCTACGATTCCTGTACACAGGGATGTGTGTGTGTGTGAAAATTAGTTAATAACAGCTGATTGATTGACAGTTGAGAGGCGGGCCGAAAGAGCAGAGCCCAACCCTCGCAAGCACAACTAGATGAATACTCAACCCATGTCTGTTTTTTTAAACAACGCTGTTTGTCGACCTAATTGTATTTGTGCTGCTTTTTCAGCCATGTTCCTGTAACAAACTAGGCTGTTGTAAGAATTATCCAGAGTGGTTTATCGACAAAAGAGAATGGGAAGCTGAGCCCGCATGGTGACCTGGGAACCTGACCCCCAGGGGAATTCGCGGTGGAAATAACCGACGCTTTGTTCATAGTTTTGTATAATGAACCATCCTATAGTATTCAGTAATTTAGAGAAAATTAGCCTTTATTCATTTTGCATTAAAATTGTATTGTATAATAGTACTGGATACAATATCAAGAGTATTCTAATTATTGAGTTTAAGTCACCATCAGTGACGTCACGAATCAGATCTAACTTGTAAGGCGAAGTGACCGGCGGTCATAGGTCATCAGGGTTGACAGGTCTACTATTTCTCAAAGTTCAATTAACCATTTTTGGGGGATCGGGAACAGCTCTGCCGTTAGATGTTTGTGTAATTTAATTTCAGTAAAATAATTCAACCAGTCTGGATCAATTCAGTACAAACAGAGGTTAATTGTTATAACTTAAACCTTGCTAGTAACTTGGTAGAACTTTGACTAGGCGGAAGGATACAATACTCTGTCTGGGGTAGACCAGACAAGGAAGAGAGCAGTGTGATCTGCAGAGCAGCTGGGAGAGGTCAAACATCTTACCTCTCCCCAAGACCAGCCCAACATCTTTAGCTGGTAAAACATAGAGGTATAGTTGCTATGGTTATTTATAGAATAGTCTTCATTGCCATTCAGGTCAAGTAGGGAGTGTTAAAGTGACAGGGAGTGAACATATTTAGATTTTGTTTTAGTTTTTCTTTTAATAAATTAATTAGTTATTAAATTGCATTTTTATTATTTCCATGTGTTTTATGTGTACACTTGTCCTGGTCACGTGGTCCACACGAGGCGGAGTTGGATTGGGCGCCGATTCTAACATCGAATCATTCCCGTGTAATTAATTTTACACTCTTAAGTTCCACGGTCATCGGTTATAGTGGGGATCAAGCCCCAAGGTTGATTAATCAGCGTGATCGATCCAGACCTCGATCATTGCTCGGTGTTGCTGGTCTGGTGGTGGCAGCGTAGAGGCGACTCTAGAGTTTTGCTCAAAGCCTAGGTCACGTCATACTGGGTGTAGAATCCTAAGTCGGTCAATCGTCTTAGGACCACGTGGCGTGGAGTTGGTTTTGGTAAAAGTTTTGGAGTCCCTTGGTAGAGAATAAAAAGTAAGAATACGGGTAGAGGGAGTAGAAGGTAGACAAGTAGAGAGAGAGGAACCTAACCCGTGTTACAATCCCTTTTTTATTTTTATTTTTATTTGTTCTCAACACATTTTATACTTTAAACTCAATTAGTATTAAGTTTTAGTTTTTTATTTTTATTTTTATTTGTTCTCAACACATTTTATACTTTAAACTCAATTAGTATTAAGTTTTAGTCTTTAATGTTTTTCCTGCCCTAAACGCTTTGCGTAATAGTGGCTTTGGGCATTGTATGTACTAGCTCTATCTATAAATCTATCAATTTTTGTAAAATCTCTTGTATGTACCTTACCTGAATAAACATTTATTTTATTTATTTATTTACTTGTTCCGGAAGTGTTCGAACGTCAACAGTTGAGTATCGTGTGTAAACCTTTTTTCATTCATAAATAGGGGGTCTGGCAGGTGCATGGAATGGACTTTGGGTCTTCGTTTAGAGGACTGGCTACCCAGGGAGCCACTGCTCGTAACTATTGAGGACCTCAGGGTTATAAACCCATGGAACCGCCTACCCGCCAAAGACGTAAATGCTAAAAATAACTGTTCAGTTTTAAAATCCAGCTGGAAAAAAATCACCAGGGAAAATTTGACAAGCCGCCTGCTTCCTGTTCTCGTCGTGGCCACTCGAATGTTGGTGCCCAACAGGTAAATTCAGGTAAAAACTAAGACACCACAGCTAGTATGATCAAATCGTACACACCGTAGTTTCGAGAAAGCTCGTTTTCTGATGAACAAAACCGTATATGTTGTTAAGGGTGTATTAATTTAGGCTAGACTGGGTTGAGTTAATCTGGGTTAGGTTGGATAGGGTTAGGGTAAGGATGGATAGGGTAAGGGTGGATAGGGCTAGGGTAAGGGTGGATAAGGCTAGGATAAGGGTTTCTATACAAGCGGCGAAGAGCGCGTCATGTACGAGGGCCGCGTCGTGTACGATGTGGCACCTTCCTATCAGCTGTCATTGAAGACGCAGTGTGGCACCCGTGGCTGTGTCTGCTGTGTCGCAGGTGTCTGCTGTGTCGCAGGTGGGTGGTGTGGCTGCTGTGTCGCAGGTGGGTGGTATGTCTGCTGTGTCGCAGGTGGGTGGTATGTCTGCTGTGTCGCAGGTGGGTGGTGTGTCTGCTGTGTCGCAGGTGGGTGGTGTGGCTGCTGTGTCGCAGGTGGGTGGTGTGTCTGCTGTGTCGCAGGTGGGTGGTGTGGCTGCTGTGTCGCAGGTGGGTGGTGTGGCTGCTGTGTCGCAGGTGGGTGGTGTGGCTGCTGTGTCGCAGGTGGGTGGTGTGGCTGCTGTGTCGCAGGTGGGTGGTGTGGCTGCTGTGTCGCAGGTGGGTGGTGTGGCTGCTGTGTCGCAGGTGGGTGGTGTGGCTGCTGTGTCGCAGGTGGGTGGTGTGGCTGCTGTGTCGCAGGTGGGTGGTGTGGCTGCTGTGTCGCAGGTGGGTGGTGTGGCTGCTGTGTCGCAGGTGGGTGGTGTGGCTGCTGTGTCGCAGGTGGGTGGTGTGTCTGCTGTGTCACAGGTGGTGGTGTGGCACCCCTATACCTGGGGACCATTCAGGCTTGTTCGCATGTGTGTTCCTCACGTGTGCCCCTAAGAATGAGGTGATTTGAAAAAATATTATGCCCAAGATTACCATCAGAGTGCCGGCGGGCTGATGGGGAAATAGCCTCGGCTACCATCAGCTTTTTGTCCGGTCGTGATGGTCGAGTGGATAAGGTGCCCTGTACACCAGTTGCATAGTGCTTGTAACGTACGTTTATGTTACGTTGTTGGGTAGATTAGATACACATTGTTTAGTGAGTTTTCATATTTATTTAGTAGTCTTGATTACAGTAGTCGGTTGGTGGCATTGTCGTAAATGTTCAGATGCTTGGAGCAAAGCAGAGAGCTGAGTGAGCCTGGTGGATAGCGCGCAGGATTCGTAATTCTGTGGCGCGGGTTCGATTCCCGCACGAGGCAGAAACAAATGGGCAAAGTTTCTTTCACCCTGAATGCCCCTGTTACCTAGCAGTAAATAGGTACCTGGGAGTTAGTCAGCTGTCATGGGCTGCTTCCTGGGGTGTGTGTGTGTGTGGTGTGGGGAAAAAAAAAAAAAAAAAAAAAAAAAAGTAGTTAGTAAACAGTTGATTGACAGTTGAGAGGTGGGCCGAAAGAGCAAAGCTCAACCCCCGTAAAAAACACAACTAGCAAACAGTGAGGCCGGAGTCGTGGAGCTCTGTGTGGGAGAGCGTGGCGGCTCAATTGGGAATTGTGAGTGTCTGAACTCGGGGAGCGAGAGCGTTGTAGCTCGATGCAGTCGCAGTTTGCTGTCTGCACTGTGTCGAAGCTGTAGCATCTTGGGTCGATTAGAACTGTACACGCCGAGTGCTACATTGTGGACTGTGGAAAAGCCACCCAAAAGGTGGCACAGGCATGAATAGCCCGTAAATGATGGCCCTTTTGAGCCATTACCAATATCAATAGATGATACTGGAGATCTTTGGAGGTGCGACTGCACCCTACGTGACAGGAGATGTCTCCTGTGCTGCTATTCCTCATATCGCTTGCTCATATGGTGACTACACCTCGGCTCCCTCCAACAAGATGAGAAGAGTATTACCTGTAAATGGGGATAGGATTGTAGCTTCTGTAGTTAGTGCTAATTGGTTATGCTATTAAGATAATGAGATAATGGAGCGAGTATAAGATTAGCTCGCTACATACTCCTGGCAGTATGGGTTCGAGTCACTTCTAGGGTGTGAGTTTTCAGATATATATGTATTCTCACAAACCCAGTGTACCTTCTTGTATATAAATAAATAAATTATATAATTTTTTTTTTTTTTTTTTAGATTTCAGGCTAACTTCTTTCATTCTTCTGCCTTTTGATCTAACTTCTTTCATTCATGACTTTTGATCTTTAAATCTGGTGCACATACAGTATTTATTACTTTGAGCCATCACATTGAGGCAGAATGAAGGATCTTGACAGTATACCATGTTCCTCGTGACCCACAGAGGAGACTGCAATGGATTGCTGCCATGAAGAGTAGCTGCTGAATGATGGAAGCAGGCATTGTTGCACTGCTCACATCACTTCATGTATGTCATCATCATTTTATTGTCCTTGATTAGTCTCAGTAGGTGGTTGGCCATGTGCTTTATTTAATACACTGAACCCCATGGACATATGAATAATCAGTATTAAATTGCATGATGCATGAATTCAACATTTGCAATGGCTTAGCTGGCCAACAGTTACCCTCATTAACCCTTGTGTTGCTAAGGGCTATTTGGGCATTGTCACCCACAGGTGCATAACAAAAAAATAATTCTTCTAAACCTGTAAATTTGTGTTCTCTGATCACGGGAAAAATAATAAAAAAATCGTAAGGAGCATATTTTGCCCGCTATAGGGCGAAGAAGTCTGGCAAAGAACAGGCGCTGACTCATCATGCATCCCAGACGTTCTGCTCCGCCCCAGCTGTCAGGCAGAAGTGGCCACAAAGAGAGAATTACCTAATTAATTCAATGTCTCTGATTTATTTTTCTTCATTTCTTTTGCTGTAATATTATTCAATAGTGTGTAGTGTGATATACTTATATAATAAAATGTGTGAATCATCGCTGTACTCAAAATTATGGTGTGCATATTGTTGATTCAATTATTATGTTCATCAAACAGTGAACAAATACTTTGTTGGTTATTACACTATATACACAGGTTATATAAAAGTATCTGTATGTTCTGTTACATAGCCACTCTCTGCCACTCACTCCCTCAACACCTCACTCGCCCAAATTCTCCTCCCACCATATTGTTTTTGCTTTTATTCACTATATATAGACATTATATATAAGTATCTACATGTTTTGTTCACCACAACTGTACAACTAAGCTGATATAGTTAGTTCAGGCACTAAGAGACGTCGCTACATAGTCAGCTGGCGGCTGCCTCCCTCTCAGATTCAAGGTCAGATGCACTAAAATTTCTTCCCCAACAATACTGTTTGTGGCATTATTATCCTATATACAAACATTATATATAAGTATTTACATGTTTTGTTCACCATAACTATTCAACTAAGCCGGTATAGTGCCCAAAGAACATAGTGGCCACCCCTACCCAGCATGATAAATCATGCAGATGTTGCCACCTCCCTCACCTCCTTCTCCCCTACACTCCTTTTGCTGTTATTATATTATATATACACGTTTTATATAAGTATCTACATTTGTGTTCACTATAACGAACCACTAAGTTGGTATGCTGAGTGGCAGTGGCAGGAAGTGGCAGCCCGCCACTGGCTGTCACTCGCTCCCTCCGTCACCTCACTTTACTCGCCACCATTCTCCTCCCACCATACTGTTTTTGCTCTTATTCACTATATACAGACGTTATATATACCTATCTGCATGTTATGTTTACCATAGCGAACAACTAAGTTGCTATAGTGAGTCCAGCCAGTAAAAGGTGGTCACACAGAGTCAGCAGACAAGGCTACCTCCCTCACCACAAAGATTACTCCTCCCACTACACCGGGTTCAAGCTCAACCAGGTACAGTGTAGTACCTGGAACCCGTGGAACCACTTACCCGCCGAAGTCATAAATGCCAAAACTCTGCCGAGTTTTAAAATACAGCACAGCTGGAAAAGTTCATCGGGGAAAATGGGGGACCTTTGACAAGCTGCCTTCCTGTCCTCATCAAGGCCACTAGTATTAGTGGCCCTCAGGTAAATTCAGGTAAAGGTAAATTTTACAGAACATTGTTTCTTCTCTCAACTTGTATCATCAATTTTCCTGTAAATCTAAAATCTAATATACTGTACTTAACTATACTGTATTTTAGTTTACCATCAACATAAATAGTTTTCTCAAATGTCAAGAGACTGTGGACTCTTGCATCTTTCTGCTCCCTTAGTGGCATCCTAAGTGATATCTAGGAATTCATGAATCTTTTATTTATTTATTTAGTCAAGAGCAGGAAGCCTGTGTATAAACAGTACTTAAGGTTTGTATTGAGGTCTCAAGGTCAACCTACTGACCTATCCCAGGTTGCAACCCCCACAAGTTACTTAACTTCCAGGTATCTATTTAGTGCTAGGTACACAGAAGCATTAGGTGAAAGGAAATGTGCCCAACCATTTCTGTCCTACCCAAAAATTGAACCCGGGATTCCTGATTGTGAGTTGAGAATGCATTTTAATGTATTTTCAACCATTTGTAGTTGAACAAGAAAGCAATCTGTACTACAAGACCATATACTGTACTGTACTGTATTGGTTTACTGCTGTCTTTGATAATTGCTTACTTTATTCTACCCAATTTACACACCATCAATAAGAATACAGCTGGAATATAGTATACAGTGTATCCGATGACATTTTCTGCCCTTTCATAGTTATCTAAACTGTCTTACTGATATGTTTACTACCAAAGGGATAACAAAAAATCATTTACTTAAACCTTCTGTATGGAATAAAATTTGGTTTTCTAGTCTGTATTTGTACTCTTTTTGATTTGTTTGTTTTTTTACAGTTACTTGTGACAGAGCATTAACTTGTGCCTTCAGCTAAGAATATACAGTATATTATCTGGCCACCACGCCTTCTGATAGTACTTCAGTGCAATAATTTACAGGAGCCCTCACGATAACATCACATGCATGGTAAGGCATCTTCTTAGGTACAGTATTAGATATTTGAGGTGTTATCTTGTGACTATTTGACGTTTACATGATTGAGCTCTTATAATGTGGCTTCGGTAAAGTTAACTTTACCGGTGGTCTTCTCTTACATCTCGTTCATGTGATAATTACCTAAGTCTAATTACTTAACCCCCTGTAGTGCACATAATGCCTTGTAAGGCACTTGACTGGTGGTGCAAATTGTTTTATAATTTAGCAATATTTTAATGTTCCATTCACCTGGACTGAATGGGCCTCGAACCGTGGACCCCACGCGTGTGAGGCCGTAGCTCTGTCCATGGTTCCAGACCCATACAATCCAGGTGAATGGAATGTTTATTTCCACGGAAGTGTAGATGGCAATTTAATATTTTAATGTTTTTTATGTTTTCTTCATTCTTTGATTTGAAATGAAAATTGTTAAGTTTGGCAATATTTTTTACATTTTCATGTTTTTTTTTAAATTTTTAGTTAATGTTAATAATAATAATAGTTCTGTATGTGATATTTGAGATCAGTACCTCTTCAAACATTTCTTGTACTATACTTTCTATACTTAGCTCCATTTCTGCAATTCATTAAAAAAAAAAAAGGCTTTCAAAGTACATCTCATTTTTCTCTGTTGGATAAAAGTTCTCTTAAATTGCTTGACATTAATCATATATTTTATTATTTTCAGGAGTGTGAAGGCTGCAATAACGAGTATGACCAAGAAGAGCGAAGGCCACGCACTCTTCCCTGTGGCCATACCTTTTGCTCCAGCTGCATTGGTGCCATTTTGAAGGATAATAAAGTTTTCTGTCACGCATGTCAAACAGAACACTATGCGGTTGCTGTGGTACAGTTCCCACTTAATTATAACGTGGAGGCCAACATAAGAGCAACAATGATGGATGTTGATGCCCCACCAGGACCTACCCCAGCAAAACGTCCAGCAGTGTCACCAGGACCAGGAGGATCCAACCAAGGGCAGCAGCAGGGCTTAAGCAAAGAATTATTAGCTCTGAAAACAGAGAAAATGAAAGCCCTGGCTTGTGCTGAAATTAAAGTACAAGCCACATTGAATGGTCTGGGTCAGTATGCAAGGCAGGTAGCAAAAATGAAGGAGGAACATATGAAGCTAATGACCCAGCTTGAGGATTTAGCAATGTTCCACCAAGAAAGAATACGAGTGATAGAAGAAGAAGATGCACGTGTTAGGGAACTGCAAGCTTGGCATGAAGCTAGGAGGGACAATGCAAATTAATAAAATTCTGGCCTACCCAGATATGGGGTGAATCATTTGTAGAGTTTAGAGGGCCCTTAACTCTTTCTTGAATTATAGCCTTTATACAAGTAGGCATTAAAGCATTAATAGTTAGATATATATATATATATATATATATATATATATATATATATATATATATATATATATATATATGTCAAGGCCCAGTTTGTCTAATAGGCCCGAGTGATTTTCGTTATTTTCAATAAATTGCTTCCAATTAGTTTATTTGAATTATTATTAACATATTATATTAAGAACATACATTATTGACTTTGTTGTGTTAGTTTAGGTTAAGATAGGTTAGGTTGGGTTGGTTAGGTTTGGTCATATATCTACGTTAGTTTTAACTCAAATTTAAGAAAATTAACTCATACATAATGAAATGTATACCTTATCATTTCATAAGAAAAAAAATTTAAAAATATATAAATTTAGGAAAACTTGGCTTATTAGGCAAATTGGGCCTTGCATAATAGGCCAAGTACTGCATTCTGGTTACTAGGTACAACATATACATACATACATCACACACACACACATACATTCTTGTACAGCCACTAGCACGCATGGCATTTTAGGCAAGTCCTTAATCCTAATTTTCACACACACATTTCAAGGAAGCTACTTGTAGCAGCTGTCTAACTCCCAGGCACCTATTTACTGCTGGGTGAATAGGAGCATCAGGGTGAAAGAAACTGTCCATTTGTTTCCGCCTCTGCTGGGGATCGAACCCGAACCCTTAGGACTACAAAACCAGAGTGCTGTCCATTCAGCTGTCAGGCCCCTCTGGTGAACATTATTGAAGTTGTTTGTTCAGATTCACTGTAAGCAAATTAAGGCTACACGCACTGGAGCTAGATTTCTTTGTATTTAATCCATCTCATTTCAGTGTGAGAGGGTATTAATAATGTGAAGCATTTGCCGTGTTACTGTGTAGGCAGTAAATAAAATGACTGACATTTTAGGAACAGCCAGTTATATGCTATAATTAGTTAAATTACTCCACCCTTCTACACCTGAGGCTACCAGGTGGTCTGAGAATGCACATACCTTTGCAGTACAAGTATCATAATGTAGATTTTCTACATCTGTTGATTTATTCCTATCATGAACAGTTATCCTGTGCAAATCTTTCCACATAGTCTCTCCAACAACTTCATTTGGTTTTCCATTGTCAGTCAAAGGAAGCCTGCTTGACTTATTGAGGTTCACTTAGGCCAACTACTGACCTTCCCTAGGATGCAACACAAGAGTTGTCTAACTTCCAAGTACCTATTTACAGGTAGGTGAATAACTTGGCACACCACCACATAGCTGTGTGTCAGGACTTGGGAACAAGTAATGGGGCTTAAGTGCATTGCTCCCTCAAGTGAAAGGAAACTTATCCAAACATCTCCATCCTACATGAGAATCAAACCCTGGACCTTTTACCTGTGAAGTGACTGTGCTCTCGTTCTTCCATAGACATTACTCCTTATGTTTTTATAATTTTTAATTCTTTGCCATAGGACAGACAGCCAGTGCATGTATACATGTAATGCTTGTATCGAGATTCACCCCAAGGTCGAACTACTGACCCCTCCTCAGGATGCAACCCCACAAAGCTGACTAACTCCTGGGCTACGTGATAGTAAATGCACCCAACAATTTGTCCCGCCCTGGATTTGAACTCGGAATTCCTGGTTGAGAGTCAAAAACGAACCCAACTGTACTACCGAGACCCTATGTAGGTACAGTATGCATTATCTTGCGTACCCCTTGCTCAAATTGTATTGCCTATAATTATTTATTGTTAAAGACTTTGAAAATTGTGCTCCATATTAAATTTAAACATTGAATTATAATTTATCGCCAAATGAGTCATTGAGAAAATGTGCAATGCTCCCTCATTATTTGTGGTCTATCCCTTTTTCTTACTTATCCCTAATAACAATGATTTCTATTGTCTTTTTTTTAACTATAGTATATAGAACACAGAAGCAAATTATTTTCTGACTTGTTTACTGCTTAGAGCAGTAAATTTCCACAACTTTACTTATGCCTTTCTGTGGTAGTTCTACCTGGAACATGGACTGCAAGTCAGTTTTCAACTATCTTGAGGTTATCTCAAGATGATTTCGGGGCTTTAGTGTCCCCACGGCCCGGTCCTCGACCAGGCCTCCACCCCCAGGAAGCAGCCCATGACAGCTGACTAACTCCCAGGTACCAATTTACTGCTAGGTAACAGGGGCATCAGGGTGAAAGAAACTCTGCCCATTGTTTCTCGCCGGCGCCCGGTATCGAACCCAAGACCACAGGATCATACGTTCAGTATTCTGTTCGTTCAGCCGCCGGCTCCCCGGCTAGGTCCCCAATTACTGCTAGGTGAAGAATAGCAAACAGTTTAGAATTAGTACCTAATCTCAAATTGTGCTTAACTGCCCAGGGCTTGAACCTGATCCTATATTACTCATGAAACAAGCATTGTGAGTGTTCTATTGCTGCACCAGCAAATGCAATTCTAGATGTTCAACTGAAGTACATAAGCTCTTTTACAGCAATAGACAGAACAGGAAGCCAAAATAACCAAATGTATAGTTCTGATTTTCTGCAGGTATGCATTCCCTGACACCCCAGTTGTTTCTAAAGAGTAGATTTGAGATTTTGTATGTGTATGTGTGTGTGTGTAATTACCTAATTGTGTGTATGTGTGTGTGTAATTACCTAATTGTTACAGGAGCTTCATCCTCTTCTCCGGCACAGAGGTTTCTGCTCTTTTGGTCCTGGTGGTAGGTTTGTTCATTTGGAGCAGTCTTATTTTCTGGTGAAGACCGAGACTGCTGCTTTCCGGAAGGACCCTTGGGTTGTTGATGCTTGGTTGGTTAGGCCAGGGGTGCATCTTGTGTTGTGTCCAGTTGCGGCTCTTCACCGTTACCTGTGCGCTACAGCCTCGGTGGCCTGGGTTGCGTTTTGTTTTGACGGGTTCCCTTCTTCCCTGTTCCAAGGGTTCAGGTCTCCCAGGTTGTCAACAGGGTTCTTCGGTCCAGTCAGCCTGTGGTCTATCCTCGTGCCGATGACGTTCGTAAGTTTGCTGCGTTGGCTGCCGTCTTCGGTATCATGTCTTGGGAGGCCTTTCTATAATCTATAATATTGGGGAAGTAGGTAGTACAAGATACAGTGTGAGTTTGAAGCACAAAGTAGGAAACTATGAGGATGAAATTAGGTACTTTTTGGTTTTACTTTTGAACAGGGCATGGGTTGGACAATTTTTAATTCATCAGGGAGAGAGTTCCAATGACTATGACCTTTAATTTGCATGGAGTGTTTGCCCAGATTTAGTCTGACTCTGAGGATATCAAAGAGATATATATTTCTGGTGTGGTCCTAATGGGTTTTATTACACCTATCTAGGAAAAGTTTCAGATCATGATTAGCATTTAGGAACTTATTTTCATTATTTTAAATTTGCTCGGCTGGACGGTAGTAACTATCTTGCTTCATGCAGGTCGGCGTTCAATCCCCGACCTTCCATGTGGTTGGGCACCATTCCTTCCCCCCCCCCTCCCCCGTCCCATCCCTAATCCTTATTATGATCCCTTCCAAGTGCTTTAGTCGTAATAGCTTGGCACTTTCCCCGATAGTTCCCTTCCCTTCCGCTGGTGACTTTACGCCATTCTGAGGTCTAATCCCTCACTGTCTCTCTCTGCATCCCATTGCTTACGTACTCTTCTTTGCAATACATGCCGTTTGCATGACGGCGTATCCTCCCGATGACCACATGAGTGGTAATGTAGAAAGATGTGTGTGCTACAATGCACAGCGGCACATCAACGGCCACAATGTGACAGAGGTGGGAAGATGATGCGTCCATGTTGGCGAGGATAAAGGCAAAGAAACAAAACAAGAGGAAAGGGGCGCAGGATGGGAATAATAACAGAAGGCGAACGCAAAGCGTTGCCGCAATAAAGAAAGCAAGGGATGTTAGCAAGAGATGAAGGGCGAGAGGAGAAGGATGCGTAGGAGGCAGGCGTGAAGCAGACATGAAAAATTATGGGAGGTGCGAGCAGAGGAAGGTACAAGGGGTGAATGTGTAGAATATCAGAGGAAGTGAGGACAGGACAGGTGAGGACAATATCTCAGGAGGACCACATTAAGAACATTGTGTAAGGAGCCTATGCAACACTTTCTAACTTTAGAATTGCTTTTAAATACATGGCTGGCGAAATACTAAAGAAATTGTTCGCGACTTTTGTTAGGCCAAAGCTAGAATATGCAGAGGTTGTGTGGTGCCCATATCATATCATAAGAAGCACATCAACAAACTGGAAAAGGTGCAAAGACATGTTACTAACTGGCTCCCAGAACTGAAGGGCAAGAGCTACGAGAAGAGGCTAGAGGCATTAAATATGCCAAACTAGAAGATAGAAGAAAAAGAGGTGATATGATTACAACGTACAAAACAGTAACAAATTGATAAAATTGATAGGGAAGATTTCCCGAGACCTGGAACTTCAAGAACAAGAGGTCATAGATTTTAACTAAACAAAGATGCCGAAGGAATATAAGAAAATTCACATTCGCAAACAGAGTGGTAGACGGTTGGAACAAGTTAGGTGAGAAGGTGATGGAGGCCAAAACTGTCAGTAATTTAAAAGCGTTATATGACAAAAAAGAGTGCTGGGTAGACGGGACACCACGAACATAGCTCTCGTCCTGTAACTACACATAGGTAAAAAAAAAAAAGTAATTATACACACACACATATATATGTATGCACAGGTGAGTACACACACAAACGATGTGTGTGTGTTCAGTATGTGCATGCATGTATGTGTGGGTTAGCAACTGGGTGTAAACACAGGTGTTAGCTGGTTGTATCATGGGTTGGTGGTTGCTTCTCCTTTGCATGCCACAATATATGTTAAGGGGATTTCACTGAAGGTGTTTATTCTCAACAAAATTAATGCATTAAACTTTTATATAACAATTTTATTTGTTTATTTATTTATTTATTTATTTATGTAAGACACTTAAAAAGAAGCAACAATGGATGATAGCAAGAATGTAAATCCATACATTGTTATTTAATGAATTTTTTAATCACCAATCATTCAATGACTTTAATTTTTTAATCATCTATGAGTTTTGAACTTTCATTGGATGAGGAGGTATCAGCCTGGGAAAAAATAGACAACTGTATAGGGAAAAAAAGAGTTTTTTATGTAGACAATACATTATAATACAATACATGCTATATTATGTAGAATATCTTGTAGATATATTATGTAGCAATGCTATCGTATGTATTAAGAAGCTAAAAAAAAAAAAAAAAAACTATTTCACAGCAGTAATCAGCAGCAACAGTAAGTAAGAAATGTTCATTTCATACAAGTGTAAATTGCTTCCTATAAGTTTTCATTTAAAAATATCAAACATTTAATGTTAAAACTGGATTCCATCTTGTCTTATTCCCTACCATTTCTCATGATTGATTATTAAATAAAATAAAACATTTTTACTGGATGGAAAAGGCCTTAAGAAATTCAATCTGTAGACTTATGTATGTGCACTGTAGGCATCTTGATTAATAGATAATGTACCATTAAAATTTGTTAAAATCCTGTAAAGATTTTATTTTACCTTAACAGAAGGCAAAATGTGTTGGCCACTAACGTCTTGTTTTGGATGAAGACTCTTGTGGCTCCCTAAAGCTATCTTTTCCCCCCTTGCTTTGTGGCCCATTGTCGTCGTGAGGGGGCTTGGTGGGCGCCTGCCAGTGTGGGATGCTCCATGGGATGGTCCTCTGTCCTTTTGCAGCCACCGGGGCTCTACCAAAAAAAGCCATTCCATTATATTCAATGCTGGGTTTTTTATATGACCAGATTGTCTCTGATAGCCTGCACTCATTTAAAGAAAAAGCCAGCATTGAATGTAACGAAACGCCATTTTCTGGGTGAGACCCGGAGGCACCCCAGAGCTTACGGGTTTTCCCCCCTCCCTTCCCCGTATAAAAATCAACACTAATGTTTCATCATTTTAATTAAATATAATTATTCCTCATTTCAGATACATACAATGGTGGCAGCGGTGGTATGAGGATGAGTAGTCAGGCGAATGGGAAAGTTTAGAGAGAAAATGGGATGTGGGGGGTAAACAGAAGTGGTAGAGTGGAAAGAATTAGAAAGAAGAGCTAGCATGAGCTAGTAGATAGAAGGTAGAAGTTAGTGGATAGAAATATTGGATAGAGAGATGTAGAAAAGGAAGGTAGGAGGTAGAAAGACTAGAAAGTGCTACCACCATCCATTCAGAAATTTAAAAGACAAGGAATGGAATTAGTCTTTTCAGCAGTATTAAGTGAAGTAACAAGCAACAACTGCAAGCATGTAAATCATAGTCAAGAATCTTTAAGTCATAGTCTTTAGTAAATAAACTTAAGGGTGCTCTCCACTCTAGCTTTCACTATCATAAGTTAAGCAATGAAAACAAGATCTTAGTGGGAATTGGAATTAAAGATAATTAAAATGACAAAGAGATTATTCATTTATCACACATGTTCATGGATAATTATATTCCTTTGCCTTTTCCCATATCAACATTAATTCAGAATTAGTCACCACACAAGATATTGAGAGTAAATATGGTCGACTGCCATTAAAATTACACAACATAAAATTTGGGAAACACAATACGTCACCTTACAATTCAACTCGCCAGGGATTCTGAATATATGATAGAGAGGAGGTAAGGGGAAGGTACAGCTGACAGACAAGGCCTAGGACACGCCTGTGTAGACTCTGGCCTGCTACTTCTGGAACCTCTCTGGTGTAGTGAGGTTCCTCTCTATCTCAATGTACAAATACTCGGATATTTATTGAGAGGGAACTAGGAGCTAAACTCTGACTACCAGGAAATAGCCTCTGACTATCTTCCTACCACACCTAGACAGCAGTTTGTTTGATGGAAAGAACAATGCAAAATGTCTGCAATTATCAGCTTAGCAGAAGGTGAAGCACTTGACACGACCTGACCTCGCCAGACATGTCAACATCAACACTCAAAAGGTGTGAACTGACTTTACTTGTATCAGTGAATGTTAAATAATTCCATTTATTTGACAATAAATATACAGTATTGCCTATAGTAGACCGACCCAGCAACCATTTCAGTTGATCCTGATGAAGTAGGATCACTCGAAACAATCCAGTGATCATCCATTATATTACTCGGTAATTTGTTCCATAAAATAAGTCCCCTTTTCCAATCTAGTATTTACATGTTTTGTCCTGAATCTATCAAATTAATGTCCATTGTCTTGTGTTCTATTTCCTATAGATATATTTAAAACTTAATTTAAAAGGTAAACAGTCATTCTGAATGAAATATAACTAGCCTATATAATAAGTTTACAAAAGTGTGTGATGGTGGTACAGTATTAGGTATATGAAACTTACCCATATATGGCACCCCACTGTGTATGCTTACCCATATACAGCACCCACTGTCCATGGCTTATCCATATACAGCACCCAGTGTATGGCTTATCCATAATGGCACCCACTGCATTGCTTATCATATATGGTACACACTGTGTATGCCTTACCCATATACAGTACACACACTGCATGGCATTTAAATATTCCTTATTTAACTTACCCTGGTGTAGTTTTTCCCATTATAATTCTCTATATTGCACCGCCGTAAAGAATATCAAGGATTTGTTTATAAGACAGCTTTTAGATAGTATTTCCAGGTACAAGTATTGATTTTCAAGGAAATGATTTAACTTGTATATTTACTGAAAAACACTGCAATGGTTTTAAGTAATTCTTTTTATATTTACTTTGCAAAATACTGCATGTTGCACTTCACAGTTTGTTCTGTAAATGTAATTACCTGTACCTAAGTGTAGCTACAGGATGAGAGGTACGTTCGTGGTGTCCCGTCTTCCCAGTACTCTTTGTCATATAACGCTTTGAAACTACCGACAGTTTTGGCCTCCATCATCATCTCACCTAACTCATTCCAACCATCTACCACTCTGTTTGTGAAAGTGAATTTTCTTATATTTCTTCAGCAGCTTTGTTTAGTTAGTTTAAATCTATGACCTCTTGTCCTTGAAATTCCAGGTCTCAGGAATTCTTCTCGGTCAATTTTATCGATTCCTGTTACTATTTTGTACATAGTGATCATATTGCCTCTTTTTCTTCTATTTTAGGCATATTTAATGCCCCTAACTTCTCTTCGTAGCTCTTGTCTTTCGGTTCCGTGAGCCATTTAGTTGCATAGCTTTGCACCTTTTCCAGTTTGATGTGCTTCTTAAGATATGGGCACCACACAACCACTGCATATTCTAGCTTTGGTCTCACAAAGGTCGTGAGAGTGGTAGATTTGAGTGGTAAGCAAGTTTGGGTATGGGTGGTTAGCAAGAGGAATGCATTGAAAGAAAAAGAAGTCAGTCACATCCAGCTACAACTTCAAGACAACATACAATGCAGAACTTGACTATCAACAGATATAATGAGCATGTTAAGTAAAAAAAGGCCAGGAGGTGGGGCATAGAGAGCTAAATCTCACTTCCCAGTAGTTAGGCAAGAACGTTATTTTCAAAATCTTTTTCCCTTCACTCCTTATACAATAAATTTAACCAAAACTTAAATTCTAGATGTCATGGAAATGTGCCCACATATAATTTTTCTAGTACTTATGGTATGTATTATTCAACTATGACTTTAGTACAGTGCAAGATGTACATTTTTTAACATAATAATGAATTAAGTGATTTTATTGTGACACTAATCCTAGTCCTCTAAATATAGCTCTATAAATTCTCACATTACAAATGATAAATGGATGGGAAAGTCTAAAGACTGAGGCACAATTCCAGTCAAATATGCAAATTAAAAAGCAAAGCAACAATTTATTTTATTCATTATTTTTAAGTACCAGGTACAGTTATATTTTTGAACATGTATAATTAATAATTACAGTTTTGAACTGCAAATTATAACACAAAAATTGAATTTTATTCAAAGAAATACAGCTTCCATTAATGTTTAATGGACTTGTAATAACATTAAGTTGTGCAGTTTCAATGTACATTAACTAGGAGGAATATATTTGTGTTTCTTCCCTCCATACATTGCTACATAATTATCTATACTGAACTTTCTCTTACAACCCTTGTAATTCATGTAGCGGATCTTGCCAAAGACAGGTCTTTCACCCCAGCCTTGATCATGGATGCCACAAATAGACCACATGCAACCTAAAAAGGAAAATGATCGTGAAAACACATAATTTTAACTTATAACTATCTACCCATGGTACTATCTAAAGTCATACCGTCCACTGTGATACTGTCTAAATCGAAACAATTGCTTATCTCACTCTTTTCTGCAGGACTTTTCTGACTCATTACTACGTTATATTTTGCTCTTCACACTGTGCAAAAAGAATTGAGTGAATAATGCAAGGGTGTAATCACAGTAGAGAGGGTGTAATAACAACAGGGAGAGTGTAATCAAAACAGGGAGGGTGTAATTACCACAGTGAGGGTGTAATCACCACTGGGAAGGTGTAATCACCACAGGGATGGGTATAATCATAACAGGGAGAGTGTAATCACAACAGGTGAAAGGAAATATGCCCAACCATTTCTATCTCGCTTGGGGATCAAACATGGAATCCTCTATTGCGAGTCAAGAATGTAAACCACTACAATCCTAGTTCTGTAATTCAGGTGTTCCTTTTCTAATGGTAATATCTATGAATTATTTTCAATGATGTACAGTAGCAACACATTTGGATTTAAGAGGGCTCTGGTCTGTTAATATTAAATAAAATAAAAATTAATTAATAATTACCTAATCTAAGCATATGACTTTAGGCCTAAAGCATACTATTACCTAATCCCAACTCCTAATAACAGTCTTAAATATTATCATTACTGAACCCATACACCTGGCTGAGGCCTAAAACCTGTCATAACCTGATCTTGAACACCTGGCTTTAGGCCTGAACTTGTCATAATCTATTCCTAGCACCTGACTTTATGCTTAACTTTTACTATTTCATACGTTTATATTAAACCTGTGTATAGACAGTAATTCAAAATGGGACTCACCCACATATCCACTTGGATCACGTCCATCAAGGCTGTATCTGTCATTGAGATATATTGCTGTTTCCAAGGCTTCTTCTGGAGTAGTTGTCCATTCCAAAATTTTCTTAGCCCAGTACATACGCATGAATCCATGAATCTTTCCTTCAGTTACTAGCTGAATCTGTTAAAATACAACAAATGAGCTAAATATGTTATACCATTATTACTCAAAATGTTTGCACTTCTTTCACAGGAATTTTAGGGAAATTCTTTTGTCTATAACCTCTGTGGGTAATTTCAAGGGTAAAACAAAATCAAGCACTGAGCAAGTGTGAAAAGCACTCACATATTATATGTGCCGGCACACACAATAGTGACTGCTAGACCAGACTGAGTGTGTAACAAGCACACAAAATAGTGACTGCTAGACCAGACTGAGTGTGTAACAAGCACACACAATAGTGACTGCTAGACCAGACTGAGTGTGTAACAAATGTGAGCAGCCAAATTACCATACTGCTTTGAATTACTCACAAACATCTTGATATCAATCACAAAACAATTCTGTCAAGCAGTCAAAAAGATTACACAAGATCGAAACCACATTTTAAAATACAAAATCAACTAATGCAGCTTCACATTATCCATGCCATGATGATTTTCAGCCATAAGTAAACTGCCTTGTAACTCTGAGCTTTATTATAGATCTGAGCTTTATTATATATAGTCTTGTAATTGGCAATGGTGTAGACAAAGACAATTCCAGTGACACATTCCTGTATAATTAGTATTACAGTATGTTCTACTTGGAAACTGTGGTACAACAACAGTCAATACTGGGTAAGATTACCCTAGAAATGAAATCCGCTACAGTTACCCAATACCGTACACTGCAACCTCAAAACGGTAAACTTCACTTCAGCAGATCTCCGATTACAATTCACACAAAGGTGATTTGTAGGATGCAGCTACATTTCACAACCTGTGGGATTTACTTACCTTTGAGGTCACCTTGCCAAACAAGTGTATCAGGGAAATTTTAATTTCAACTCAAAATTTGCCCATACTGTGATAGTGATGGATTTAATTAGGATGCAGGGCTAGATTTCACAACCTGTGGGAAAGTCAATGGCCCTAGTTCATTTACACCACTTTGAGGTCATGGCCCTTCATTTAAAAAATATGATTAAAGGGCTGGATGATAAGAGAAACTGGCAATGAGGGCAAAATCTCTTGACAGTCAGGTTCTCCTGGTAGCTACCTATCATATGATAGGGAAATTTTAATTTCAACTCAATGCAATTTGCCCATACTGTAATGTACGGAAAATAGTAGAGCATGAACGTTAACTCCTTTAATATGGCTCCAAACATATTTTTAACGATTTTTGTAAATGGATACAACACTAAGAGAAATAGTAAGGAGCATTGGGAAAGCTATTGAGGATATTTAAAACAAAATTCTATGGTTCATTTTCATTTTGAATTTTCATGGCTCTATAATTATAATTTCAAACAGGTAATAACACACATACTATATAAAATATTTTTGAATGCACATATGATGTTTAGCAGACAAACCAAAACAAACCTGAGCAGAGTTCCAAAGTTCATCATGTGTTCGAGCTTCAACAAATGCTTCTCGAGAGTACAAGTATTCTCTCTTGTCTTTTCTGAAAGAGAACAACACTAACCTGTAGTACCCCAAATAAGTTTGATAGAACGAAAACAGTATGTAAGTTTGAACAGAATTATAAATCAACCATTGAATGTAATGAAAAGCCCAGTTTAAGTGGACGTCTCAGTAGCTCCTCCAGCTTAAGTGCTGGTGGTGCCATGAAGAGCCCCAAGCCTCGTGAAACTCGTGCTAATCTATAGGGAGTCATAATCTGGCTCGCTCTCTCCGAGGCAGGGAAAGAATTGTGTTTTTATTCAAGATGTAGAATGTTTTCTTTTTCCTAAGCTTTCCTGATACTGAATAGATCTCTGATCCTGAAGCATCTTTCCCCCACCACCCAGCCTCATAAAGAGTACCAGATTCTGGTCCTGGCTCCTGGTAGGTCAGCATGGGTCTTAGAGGCCAGCTGCTAGTCTGAAGGCTTGGTTATACTGCAGCAACATGTAGGCTCCAAGGAGCTACTTATAGGGAGCTCGCAGAAAAACCTGTGTATGCAATAAAATGTAGAGAGAAACTAAAATGGGTGGAGGAGAAACAATAAAAGGGCAGGAGACTTTTGGTTGGAATAAAATCCCAGGTGCAGCAAATGAACTACACCCTATATAGTTTGTTGGAGCGAGGTCCCACTGTATTCTGTATATACAGTATACTATACAGTGGTACCTCGGAATGCGATTGTCCCTGTATGCGAGGTTTTCGGAAGGCGAGGTGTATTTACTCCAAAAATTTGTCTCGGAAGGCGATGGTTACTTCGGGAGGCGAGTTTGGACGCGAGTTTGTTGATACGCGTACAGCCGACCTAGCGCGTGGTGGTTCGGCGATCGTCGCCCCTCCGCCCCGCCGCCCCTCAGTTTATTATTGTCTCGCGCTCAGTGACTACCCCCACATCAATTCTTCTCGCGGATTTTCAGTGTTTTGTTGGATTTTTGGTGATTTGTCTATACAATTTGTTATTATATATCTCACCATGGGTCCCAAGAAAGCCAGTGGTAAGGATAAAGGCCAGAAAGCTCATGTGAGGATGACAATAGAGGAGAAACAAGAGATCATTCGGAAGCATGAGAACGGTACACGTGTTGTTGAACTTTGTAGGCAGTACAACAAAGCCACATCAACAATATGCACTATACTTAAGAAGAAAAATAAGATTATGGGTGCTAAAGTGGCAAAAGGAGTAAGAACATTAACGGCACAAAGACCACAAATACTTGAAGAAGTGGAAAAGTTGTTATTAATTTGGATACACGACAAGGAGTTGAGGGGTGATAGTGTTTCGGAGGCCATTATTTGTGAGAAAGCCAGGGTGTTGCACGAAGACCTTCTAAAGAATACCCCTGCAACGAGTGATGCAGATAAGAAAGAGTTTAAGGCAAGCAGGGGCTGGTTTGAAAAATTTAGAAAGAGAAGTGGTATCCATAGTGTTACAAGGCATGGGGTTATGTGATGTGATTATGGAAGGGGACTCCCCTTCCAAACAGTAACTCCTCTCCTCCTCCCCCCTCCTCACCATCTTCCATACGCCTACAGCACTCGACAGCAAGGTAAGTAATAACTGGAACACAGTTTTGTAGGTTTATTTAGATGAATTAGGTATAAAAATTTAGTTTGATGTGGGGTTTTTGGGGTAGTCAGGAACGGATTAATTCATTTCCTTTATTTCTTATGGGGAAATTAACTTCGGAATGCGAGTTTTCGGAAGGCGAGGCGTCTCCAGGAACGGATTAAACTCTTATTCTGAGGTATGCCTGTATACAAGACAAGCACTGTCTATACACATACATTATTTATGTAAATTACTGTACTATATATTCTTTAAAAAAGAAATATTCCTTATTCAACTTAAGAACAATTCAAGCTCTTCAACTTTTTACTGTTCATACTTACTTGTGATCATTTAGAGTTTTTATAGCCCAGCTGTAAGCACCTTCAATATGATCATAGTTCTTCTGATAAAAACAATAATTGTCACACAGTTCGCGTCGCACGACAGCCTCTTCAATAAACACATCCACAGCATCCTTAAATTGTTTCTTATATAATTTTACTTCAAGAACACATCTCTGTGCTGATATTTGACCTGAAATGAATGAAATTTTATAATATATTGTCATTTAAAGGAAATATCACTGTCAATATTTAAGTATTATCTACAGAATATTTACCTGCCTTTCTGTATTTGCAAAGCTTCAATTACAGTACAATGTGTCCCCCTGCTTGAACAGATCAATATGTAGTACTGTATTTTGTGCCCATCCACTAAGCTGAGCTTAAAAGAGTATCAATAAACATGTTTTTTTTAACACAAAAGTAGATGATTTCTGACTCCTATTAGCATGCTGAGAGCTTTCCCTTCCCATAAATGAGACCCATCAGGAGCCAGGACCAAAATTTGTCTCTTTCTATGAGTAGAGGAGAGGGGAATTTGGGGATCAGAAATCAACTCTAAATCAAGAAAAACCATACCAGAAAGTATAAGCACATCAAAACAAGCATCTGCTCAAAAGGAAATTTGTAACCCTGAGGAAAATTAGAGTTGCAGCAGGGTAAACACCCTATAGCAATTACAGTATTCACCTGACTGCCACCAGATGGCAGTCCAGGCTACTCAAGATCCCAAACAGGCAACCATCTCACAATCACTTGCCTGGTGCAGCCAGGGGGTGTCACCTCTCTCTCTGAGCCCACATTCAGCTTCATGTTTCCAGATAAGTTGTGATTTTCTAAGGATTTTCTATCCTTAGAAAATTTTGTTCAGTGTGAGGTCACTACTTGTTTTTTTTACATTTCCTACCTCACATTTATTTGTGTTTTGTGCCATCTGCCTTGCATGTGCCCTGTATTTACATTTTGTTCCAGTTTAATTCTGGGGTTCTCTTTTTGGGCAGCCAACTTACATATCCTTTGCTCTACCAGCTATTTTCTCTGCAGGGTTTGGGTTTCCTCATTTACAAACCCATTCCTCTCAAATCAACTTATTTGCGGGTATTGTATGGATCTGACTGCAAGGCCTGATGATGGGGAGTGATGGCAATTAGGTGGCTATTTTTTGTGACCATGTGCCTAGCTCTGCCTCCTATGTAGTCGGGCCCTGCACTTTAGCCAAGGGTGTGCTTGGGTTACATAACTGATTGTTCTTGGCCATGGCTGTATTTGCCCTACCTTGCTGAGTGGCCAAGATCAACGGGTCAAGTGTTTGTTTAGCCAAAACACTTTCCCTCGTCCCTGGGAGATTTTTTTTTTTTAGGTCTGTGTGTTCATGCAGGCTGTTATGGCTTCCTTGCTTACCTCCATGCTTGATATAGCTGCCTGCAATTTTCAGAATGTGATTTTGTTTTTAGATACCAATGGTCACTCTTGCTGCCTCCATCACTCTGATTGTTGGGTTTGAATCTCTAAAGATATCCTGATTGGTACAGTATAATACATTTACATTTATGGAAATCTATTTAACAGACTCACATTTGCTATTAGAAAAAAAAGACTAAAGATTTGAAGACAAATTAAATCAATGAATAAAGAGAAAAAATGTCAAAGGTTGTTTTTATTGAATTACAAATATATACAGTATACACAAACATTATTTTCTTAGTAACATACCAAAGTGCAGCCAAGGTGAGAGATTACTAAGCGCCTTCTCATTAGGGTCATTCCGTTGAGTAGCATATTTTTTCAGCCGCTTCAGACAAAATTCATTGAGTGTATTCAGTCCTGCCCGTGTTCCAGGAGTTGCCCATTCAACAGGCTTAATAGTCTCATCAACTTCCAGGCTGTTTCTAGCAGCTGTCCAGTCTACAGGCTACAAGATATTTACACATAAAATACATATTACAACTCTCAATAACAACTCAAGAATAATTCAAGTGAGCAGCTAAATTAAAATTTAATGAATTAATTTAAATTTAGTGAAAAGCCTTCATCCAGTGGAACCCCCATTATCTAGATCCCCTTTTTTCCCTGATTCTCAGATTATCAGGACATAGAAATTAATGATTTTGCATCACTATTAACAAAAGCATATCTGGATAACAGGGGTAACTCCTGCTATCCAGAACTTTGTGTGTTTGTCACACACAAAGTTCACTCCCCTTTACCTCCTCCTCAACTTAATAACTTACCTCTGCCTGATATTTGCTCTTATAAGGATGCTTTGCAACCGGTGGAAATTTTGAGAGGAAGTCATGGAGTTTGTCATGGATCTTTCTACGAATAGTTTTAGCTGAGTACTCCTGTTTATCTGAAGCAATCCAGCAGGGAACAATGTTGTGTGCATCAACCTGAAATTAAAACATTTCTGAAGGATAACACTTGATTAGAGTTTTTAATATTAACTTAATATTAAAATGGGGAACAAATTTTGATGAGCACATAACAGATGACAAGAAATTTTTCAAAGTGTACATTTGTTAAAACAAAATGCAGGGTAGGTAAAATCTGCTATCATACTAATATAATTTAATAATTCATTGTGTTGGGGGGACAGGAAGCCAGAGTGTATTCATACACGGTTTGGCTTTTATCAAGGGTCCCCCCCCCACCAAAGGCCGAATTACTGACCCTGCCCAGGATGCAATCCTACAACAAGCTGACTCACTCCTGAGTACCTACAGGACCTACTAGGTGAACAGAGGGATTAGGTGAAAGGAAATAAAGGGCCACAGCCTTAGCAACATGCAGAGCAGCCATACTATGAGCCACTGAAATAGCCTATGTGCAAAAAAAAAAAAATCGTTGAATGTAATGAAACGCCATTTTCTGGGTGAGACCCGGAGGCTCCACGGAGCTTACTAGGCTGATATATTAATGTTAGACTTTGGCATCAGTCATGTGTATGGAGTTCTGTGGGCATACCGGGGACCACGAGCCAGAACCTGGCCCCCCTCAAGGAGGCATGGGGGAGCAATGGCCTATAGACACCCCCTGTGTGGTTGGAAGCATTCTATGTCTGCCGTCGACCGGGTCAGGCACCCAGAAAGGTAAGCATCCCAAAACAAACCTCTATTCTGGTGAAAATATTGCTAACAAAAGCCTTTCAAGTGAACAGAACTCCCCTAAAAGAAACGAGCAAACGAGCATGGCTATTTGGTCCGGCATCTGTCAACACACGATGCTCAACTTTGCTGACACTGAGGTATGCAGGACAATTCTTGTGTTCTCCTCAAATGTTTCACCGATTGTTTATCACTTATTTCTCTATTTACAAGAGTATGTGTGTTGAATAACTTGATAAATCACATAATTCCCATAACATATGATAGTATTTCAAATGATAATTGGTTTACCTGGTATATTTCATGATAACCGTATAAAGTAGTGAAAGGCATGTAAACAATGTAAAATTGTGTTGGGTCTAGGTGAAGACACATGGCCTAAGTGACACCATATGGGTGAGCGTATATATTGAAACAAAGGCATAAGCCACCAATGTGCCTTCCAAAGATGACGGAAGGCTCTTAGTACACACAACGCATGATAATGGTTCAATTTATGATTAGTTCACCTGGTATACCTCATTACAGCCATTCGAAGTCGTGAAACCACATTCACATCATACATATCATGTAATTATGGTGGAATTTTATACAATGACAATGGCCGCATTCGCCTAGTAACATTCGTGACGATAACCACATCCACATAGTAACATAATCAGGAAACGATAGTAAGATATTTTTCATGGGTCAAGGTGAACTCCATTACATCCACAGAGAGCTATTATATCTTTATTTTCATCATACATGTAAAACCCAGACAATAATCACCTCTGTCCAAGGGTTAAAAATCACAGACAAACTAGCCAAGAAGTGTAGCAATAATATAGCAATACAGTACAAACAAGTATGTATGCAATACCTGATTTTGCATAACTACTTTACAAGAGAATCCAGATCATCATCACTGTTTCCTATAATATAACTATTACATCTCGGCAATAGAGACAAAAATATAATCGAACATACCTTACACATTGGTATGTTTTTTGGAATGGCCTCTTTAACATCTTTAAGCCATTGCTGAGGTACTTGAAGTGGAGAGAAATCTGTGACTAGGCCACCAATTTCATGCTCTGTGATGAACTGTGGGAGAACGTCCTCTGCCTTACCAAGGAGAAGGTGAAACTCAATATCCAAATTCTGGCATTCACTTGCAACTTCTTCTAGGCCTAAGAATACACAATTGCATTATTAACTAGTAAAATACTACTGTAGTCACGTTTCACAATAACTTCTCGGCAATCCCCTAACCTCCGTTATGTACATTAATTGTATCTTTAAATAATTGGTCTTGTATATGGTGTATCTGTGGACCTTTTCAATAGTCTTTGCCCTATCACAGCCATCCCGAGGACCAGCCTTCCCTGGAGAATGTCTGGTCAATTTAAGCTGTTTGCCTTCATAGCCTACAAAACCATCTAGTTATCACTGCTAGGCTAATTTGGTAACTCCAGCAGAAACTTGGTAATTTCTCTAGAATGCAAAGAAACAAAATTAAATTTTAACTAACCAAGTTAATCAGTGATATTCCATTATATTGCTGTACTGTAAATGCCTTGAACATATCAAAGATTTTATTTCTGGGACAGATTTCTCAGCTGCTTAACTCTGGCTGACATTGAAACATTGTGAGCAAAGGATCAGAGATCAACCACAAAACTGGGGAAACCCCACTAGAAAGTATAGGCTCAACAAAACATGTGATTACATGAAGGGAATAGAAACCCCTAGGTAAATATTGTGTTGAATGTACAACCTGTCCTCTTAAAAAGAACGTCGCTTTTGGCCGTTTGCCCGTATGGCCGAATTTGGACGTAATTTGAAAATGAAAAAAAAATTAAAATAAATTTGGGATTTCTTTTTTCAACAACAGTAAGTTAAGGGTCCTCTGATAGGTTAGGTGGGCAGGAAATTCTCATAAAGTTTCAAAACGTTATGAAAAACGTGAATTTAAAGTGTCCTCTTATAACCTCTGCGCGTAAGGCGGACGACTCAAATAGAAAACGGAACAGAACGTCACTTTTGTGAGTCGATTTCATTTCAAATTACGTCCAAATTTAGCCATATCGCGCATACCAGCCAAAAGTGACGTTCTTTTTAAGAGGACGGGTTGGAATGTAATGGAATTCCCTTTTCTGGTGGTTTGCTCAGTAGCTCCCTGTGCTATAGCAATGGAGGAAATAATAAAGACCATCTGTGATGACATTCAACAAGCCCCAAATAACAACTGCCCAGATAACTAAATCCAAGAGTGAGACGACACTTCTGAAACACAGCAAGTATAAGACCTACAATACTTGGTACAAAGACCAAAGTCACTTGTTATGATACTCTTCAGTCATATTTCTCAGTGTATGTGGTAAGTGATTAAAATATATGAGAGCCAATTCATTAAAAAATTTTAAGTATCTTTTAAAAAATTTATTGCTTGAATACATCTGAAGTATTTGGAAATGATTCTGTATGCAAGTACTGTACTGGTATCTATTTATGGAAAGAGAGCTCCTAAATGAAGCAAGACATAAGGACTACAAAATACAACAGTAAACCTAAAAATAAATTACCTTTTAGCATGAAATCGTAATGGCGTATTGTGGCTTCAAGAAACTTCGGAACCAAGCAGAATGCCACATGTAGTGACAATTTGTTTTTCAGTGCCAGTCGCTGTGCAAACAACATTGCCCAATTATCTTGAGAAGAAACAAATAATGTCAGTAGATGAAATAGAGCATATACTGTAGTCAAATAAAACTCCTTTCTGAGCAGTCTCTCAGTTGCTTCCCCAAGCCAGGACCATGGGTCTACCCTAAACACTGCCAGCAAACCAGGTTCTAGACAACTTTAAGGCCCACAGTGATTGAACATTACAAACTCTCTTGTCATTTGGTATAAAGGTAGGGAGGTAGTGAAGAATAAACCTTAAACCATGACCAAAACACCTCTTTCTATAGTACAAAAGACCACACCAAAATCCTTTAACACCCCTTTTAACCCTTTCACTGCAGCACATAATGAAACCTTTTTGGTCAGTGGTTACAAAATTAGGTAAAAAAAAATTATATATTTTGTTTCATATTTATTACTATATTTCTACAAAGAAAAAACCAGAGTTGAATGTAATGAAATGCCAGTTTCTGGGCGAGATCCGGAGGCTTCCCGGAGCTAACCGGGCTGATATCAATGTATTAGACCCTGGTATCAGTCAATGCACATGGAGTTCTAGGCCTACCGGGGACCACAAGCAAGAACCAGTCCCCCCTCAGAGAGGCACGAGGAGCAATGGCCTTTAGAAACCTTTGTGTGGTTAGAAGCATTCTATGTCTGCCATCAACTGGGTCAGGCACCCAGAAAGGTAAGCACCCCAAAACAAACCCCTATTCTGGTGAAAATATTGCTACTGAAAGCCGAACTAGTGGACAGAACTCCCCAAATGAAATCGAGCAAACTAGCATGATGTCAACACGTCACCGTGCTGCTGTCTGTGTAATCCCCCCTCCCTGGGAGGGGGAAGGGGGAGCCCCAGACCCCCACGCCGGCTATCCACCCTGCAGTTCTGAGGCTGGAATGTCAAAAACCATGAAAACTGCTGACCAGAGGGAGGGAGGGATGCCGGTGAGCCTCTGGGTCTCACCCAGAAACTAGCATTTCATTACACTCAATGCTGGTTTTCTGGGAGGGAGTCCCTTTGGCTACCCGGAGCTACTTACCCAAAGACAACACAAAAGAGACTTACCCAGGAGGTGGTCGGCCCTCGCTCCTTAATGCAAAGTCAAGAGAACTGACTGTAACCGCCGACTCAGGGCGACACAGGCCCAACCAGGCCTAGGAACACTGACAAGGTAACAAGCGGGCAGGACCCTGTTCGACTTCCAAAAACCCTGTGCCCGTATGTCAGCCCAAGACATGTTATCAAAAATGGCAGCCAATGCAGCAAACTTATGAACGTCGTGGGCATGAGGATAGACCGCAGACTGGTTGGACCAAATAACCCTGCGGACAGCCTGGAAGACCCAAACCCTGGAACAGGGAAGAAGGGAAACCAGGTCAACCCATAATGCATCCCTAGACACAGAAGCCTCCTCAGCTACTGGTTAGCCTACTAGTCCTCAGTAGGCTAACCAGAACTATTTGCGACTGATGTGACTTTTTAGCATGAAGTAATCTCGGGAAGATAGCATCAGAGAGCCACCAAGGCTCCTCCAGAAATTGGAGTTTCATTACATTCAACACTAGGTTTTAGAGTCTCCATTATACAACAGAAAACAGGACCAATGAAATCAATACCAGTCCATGCATGTTCCTTAAGCATAGAATATTGTCATATAGATAATAAATAAGCATTTCAATGATTATTTGACTACGTTATTTTCCATAATAGTATTATGGCAAGACAATTTGTGAAGTTCATTGTCATGTTGGAGCTTAGAGTTGGCTATAGCCTGACTTGTGGGCAATGTTCTGGGTGGACCAATACTTCTGGTTAGGGAAGATCTTTCTGCTAGAAGAGCCATGAGCAGAAAACATACTGCATGTATGTATAAAATTATTTAAAGTAAAATTTGTTATGAACATAAGAATAAAAGAACCTGCAGAAGGCCTACTGTTCCATATGAGGTGGTTCCTAGTTATATTTACCCAAAGTCATTCATATACATGTCTAATCTAACCGATAATAGTTCTAAATACCTTAAAACACACCTTGAACTCTTTGATCACGAGACATCCAGTACACAATACCATCACAGTCAGGAACTTCTTCTGCTTTGCTGATCATCTTAACACGTTTTTTGTTAAATTCAAAATCCATGACATTTTCTGCCACCTACCAATATTTAAAAAAGTGTACATTTAATAATATTCAGCTTTGGTTAGATGTTTAAACATTTATATGTACAGTATCCAGCAGCCTATTTTGTATTGGACATTAGATACTTCAACATAACCTTAATTTATTAAACTATATACTTATTGACCCTTAAGGGCTTCTATGAAAAGGCATCAGAAAAAAGACCAAATGATTTCCCATTGTTGGGGACAAAAATAATGTTAGACTTATCGAGATCCCCCTTTGTCCAACAACCGACCTTCCCCCAGATGCAACCCACACCACTTGCAAAATTCCAAGATACCTATATACTGCTAGGTGAAAAGAGCATTAGGTGTTAGGAAACATTCCCAAACATCCCATCTAGTTGTTTGATGTCGCAATAAGAGCCAATCCTACTTAATGATGGGCATGGAAATCGACCCAACCCACCTATGGCACTCCTCACAAACTCATAAATCATAATGGAAAGTTATGCGAGGCTAAATGAAAGCACATGGCCCCAACCTCGAGTTGGGGCCAAGCAGACGCTTGGGACTAGCCTCTCCCAAACTTTGCAGGGTGATTTGTGACTGAATGGCAAGTGGGTTGAGGTCGATTCCCATGCTTCACTTTAAGAAGGATCAGTTCCTATTCTAAATCCCAGTGACTCCGATGAAGTATAAAAGGCAGGCTTGATTGTCCAAAAAGTGTTTTCCAATCCAATTCTTGGTTGTAAATGCATTGAATCAATGTAGGTAACAATGATTCAATGCCGATATAATTGTTTCACAGTCAATGATACCAATTCAATGTCAATAATGTTGATTTAATGTCGATAACATTAATTCAACATCGATAATGTTATTATTTAACATTGATAACATTAATTAAACATCAATAACATTGATTCAACATTGATAACATTGAGTCAACATTACTCAAGCATGTTTTGCTCAATGGGAGAGAGAACAGGAGGAATAAATGGAGAGAAAGAATAAGAGGGAGAATGAGAGGGAGGGAAGGAGAATGGAATGGAGACTGTGATATGGAGATCGAGAGGGATGGGGAATGAAAGGGATAATGGTAGAGAGGGCAGGAGAATGGGAATGAGGGAGGGAGAGAGAGAGAGAGAATCAGTTGGAAGAAAAGAGAGAGAGAGAGAACGTGGTCACTGCCGATACCCTCCCTGATATATATATGGGTGACATGTAATTCACAGATTAAATAAATTCTTTTAAATTCATGATAAGAATGATTATAAAAGTAAAACAGTGTGCCTATTCATTTATAAAAATTAATCAATCAGTAAATGGAATTGTCATGCTATTAAATTTGTCACTGAGGTCATATCCACATTCCTTCTTTCCTTCCCTACCCTGGCCCTCCTCCGTCATGTATGTTTCCAACCTGTTTTCCTGCATTTTGGTACCTCCTGTTGCCAGCACTGGTTCCCTCTACCACTTACCTACCTACCACCTTCACACTCTTAAATTATATTCACCCCCATTCTGAGTAAGTTGCAATCCAAGCTCTCATAATACATATCCACAAAATGTTCACAATAAAAAACTGTTATTAATTTATCAAATGTTTCCTATTTTAACTATAAACTTAAGCAGTAAATTACCTCTTTTCTGCCTTTTTCCAAACGAAATTCTATTTCAGTGGCATCACCAGTCTTGAGTTTCTTTGGTTGTGGGTCACCATCAGAGGAAGACATAGCTGTGAAGTTTGCAAAGTTTCTCAACCTCACAATCCAAGAAGTTGAAGTCCTCAGTGTTAACCAAGTGACACCAGCAATGTTGCAGGGAGCAGAAGACTACAAATGAAATTAACTTTACAACTCCAAACACCTGAAAAGTATGTTACCAACATTAAGTTGATGCATTTATAAAATCAGATATATGTAAAACTTTACTCCAATAATGTTTGCTTTTAAATTTATGTACAACTGAAATTAAATATCTATTCAAAAGTTACATTCATTAGAAAATAACAGATCCAAGCACACCTACTTTTAACCACCCCCCCTAACTATGCACCTAAAATTAAATAGATATCCTGGTATGCATGAAACAAATGTTCTTTCTATATTAAAAACATTGCTTGCTGATGTCGGTGAAAAAATAAATTCTTCTAATTTTAATCTGGTATAGTGAGGTGAAGAAAGGTCAATGACATAATGTTTTAAGGTATAATTTTCAAGTTAAATTTACATAATAGATTCTTCATCACTAAGACCTTCCAGGCCCATGAAAGTCCTTGCAACTTAGCATGGCATCATAGATCCTAGCTTGTATCAGTCAGTGGATGGTGATGCACCAAATATGGTGCCCATCTTTTTTTTATGGCCCTGGAAGAAAACTAAAGCTTTCAGTTTTGTTTTTTCCAATATGGCAAAGAATTGCCATAGGTGTCTAGTATCAAATAACACCTACATAGAATCAGTTAGATGTTTAAATTTTACAGGGCATATCTTATCTCCCACAGGCACCTGGATCATAGGTAGGTATCGCTTGAGGGAGACGAGAACAATTTAAGGGTTAAAAACTATACAATTAGCTTTATTTCTTACTTTTTATTTATATTTAAATATGTTAGCTAATGTTTCTTAAAATTAAATATTATTCTCAAATGTTTTACTGTATAGTATATACAGTATAGGTTGAGCATTGAACTGTATTTCATTAGGACAGAAGTTCCATTTTTTTATGTTCTAAATGTATGGTTTGTTAGCATAGATTTAGCCAGGTTTCAGCTATATCAAGATATATTTCTTGTGAGATGTTCATGATTTACCTCTTGCTTTCTCATAGGTAGGGAAAGGAAGCTTGTTAGGCTTATCAAAGTCTTCCTAGGCCAACTGCTGACCTTCCCCAGGATGCAACCCTCAGCAGTTGTCTTACTTCCAAATACTGGTACAGTGGCACCGTGACTTACGATTGCCCCGACTTACAATAATTTCGAGTTACAATATAAATTTGATCGGAAAATGCGACTTTACTTACGATATTTGTTGATACACATTCGGGTTGACCAAGTGCATGATTCCCGGTCGCGTGGGCCGACCTGCCTCAGTTTACTAGAGCCGCTTGCTTAGTGACAATCTCGCTTTTAAGAAATTCTATTTTTTTGGTGAATTTTTGATTTTTGAACATAAAACTGATTATTATATATCATGCCATGGGTCCCAAGAAAGTCAGTGGTAAGGTTCAACACATGAAAACATATGTGAGGATGACCATAGAGGCAGTACAGAATATCCCTTCCTCAAAAATTAAGAAAACGTGTGCAGCATGGGAAGAACTGCAAACTTTTGCTAAAACTACTCACCTAAATCACCTCCTCCAACGGCAGTAAGCCGTTGCCTTAACCTTTTCAATGACACTGTGATGCATCACTACAGACAAATGTTAAAACAAAGGGAAAAACAAGTGTCGCTAGACAAATTTTTAGTGAGACAAACTGGCAGTGAACCACAACCAGGTCCTAGTGGTACGCAGGCAAAATGTAAGGGGGTGTACCCCAGAGAAATCATCATTGCCTGATGTTATAATGGAAGGGGACAGGCAACCAGTGAATATATACATGTAAATAAATAATTAAATAAATGTTTATTCAGGTAAAGTACATACATACAAGAGGTTTTACAAAAATTTATAGATTTCTAGATAGAGCTAGTACATACAATGCCTAAAGCCACTATTACGCAAAGCGTTTCGGCCAGGAAATGTTAGGCTTATATGAAGATCTGCCCTAAAAGGTTCAGTTACTGACTCCCCAGAATGCAACCCCACAACAAGCTGACTGACTCCTGGCTACCTATTTACTGCTAGGCAAACAGGAGCATTAGGTATCAGGAAATGCATCCAACCATTTCTGTCCCACCCAGGATTCGAACCCCAGAATTCCTGATTGTGATTCGGGAATGAACCCAACTGTACTACTGGGACCCTAAACAGACATTGGCTGCTACGGGTTTGGACAAGACGTACTTTTCTGTAGACCACACAGAAAAATAAATGAATAGATCTGTGAATGCACGATGGTGGTGTCCAGCATGAGCCTCCCCCACCATCAGCTTGGAAGGCATGCATGGAGTGTGTCTTTTGCTGCTAGGTGAACAAAGGCATCAGGTGAAAAAAAAACGTGCCCAACCGTTTGTTCCTCCTGAGGAGTAGGAGGAACAAGTCTGGGATCCTCAACTGTGAGGTGAGAACCTAGACACCTATGGGTGGTATCTGGTGTCATTACACATGCTGTCAATTTTGGGGACATAACATCACAGTGTAGAAATAAGAGTCCTTACAAAGTCACTATAACACACATGGGCTTGCATGCCCATAAAACAGCAAACTCTAACTACAAAAACATGGACAGATAGGAACTCAAATGTACTTAAAACCAACGTAACGTTTAGATAAAGGGACATTAACCAGAGTCCAGTTAAATGTACTTAAAACCAAGGTAACGTTTAGATCAAGGGACATTAACCAGAGTCCAGTTCCTAGACGTAATGTGTGACTGTAGGTTAATTATTAATTTCATCCTTCCCTCCATTATCCATAGGATGGGTCCATAATAAAGTAACTAAAGTCTTCCTATTATTTGATCAGCATCATAAAAATGGTCAGAATATTACTATCCCACAAATTCAATAATTAATGCCATGTGCATGAGACAAAGTTCAACAAGAATTATATACCTGGGAATAAAGAGGTGGTATGGGTGTAATAGCGCACCTTCAGGTCCCACACGTGGTCCAGTGAAGGGTCAACACCAAGATAAGGATGACTCAAAGACAAGTTATTAAAGTAGCCGTAGTGTACAGCTCCCCTACCTCAGAGCTGACGCCATGAGCTACGTCCTGTCCCAACCCGTAGCTGCCGACGCCTGCCTCAACCCGCCTGGTGGGGGTTATGGTGTCCCCTTCTTCCCTACCCACCCACCCCAACCCTACAGGAACCCCACCCCCGCCTGGCCTTGGCTGTTATGCTGCTCCTGCCACCCATCCCACCCTGCCTGGCCTTGGCTGTTATGCTGCTCCTGCCACCCATCCCACCCAGGTCTGGCCTTGGCTGTTATGCTGCTCCTGCCACCCATCCCACCCCTGCCTGGCCTTGGCTGTTATGCTGCTCCTGCCACCCATCCCACCCCTGCCTGGCCTTAGCTGTTATGCTGCTCCTGCCACCCATCCCACCCAGGTCTGGCCTTGGCTGTTATGCTGCTCCTGCCACCTATCCCACCCTGCCTGGCCTTGGCTGTTATGCTGCTCCTGCCACCCATCCCACCCTGCCTGGCCTTGGCTGTTATGCTGCTCCTGCCACCCATCCCACCCTGCCTGGCCTTGGCTGTTATGCTGCTCCTGCCACCCATCCCACCCTGCCTGGCCTTGGCTGTTATGCTGCTCCTGCCACCCATCCCACCCAGGTCTGGCCTTGGCTGTTATGCTGTTTCTGCCACCCATCCCACCCAGGTCTGGCCTTGGCTGTTATGCTGCTCCTGCCACCCATCCCACCCAGGTCTGGCCTTGGCTGTTATGCTGCTCCTGCCACCCATCCCACCCTGCCTGGCCTTGGCTGTTATGCTGCTCCTGCCACCCATCCCACCCTGCCTGGCCTTGGCTGTTATGCTGCTCCTGCCACCCATCCCACCCAGGTCTGGCCTTGGCTGTTATGCTGTTTCTGCCACCCATCCCACCCAGGTCTGGCCTTGGCTGTTATGCTGCTCCTGCCACCCATCCCACCCAGCACCCCTCTACTGATTCAGATTCAGATGTTTATTCAGGTAAGGTATATACATACAAGTGATGTTACTGGCACCACCACCCCGGAGAGGACATTCAAATCAAATCACATCAAATGTTTATTCAGGTAAAAGTACATACATACATAGAGGATTAGTTACAAACATAATGTTGGATTTATAAGACAGAGCTAGTACATACAATACCTAAAGCCACTAGCACGCATAGCGTTTCGGGCAAGGTGAGGTGGGGAAAAAATATAGTCAATATCTTGCTTATGAATAAGTGCATATGTGACATAAGAATTTATTGTGAATATTTGAGCTTACCTTGAAAAGCTGAATAGAAGACCACAACCTAACCTAACCTTCTTAGTATGTTAAGATATTACAATTAGTACAGAACCTATACCTATACCTTGAGGATACCTTGAGGTGCTTCCGGGGCTTAGCGTCCCCGCGGCCCGGTCGTCGACCAGGCCTCCTGGTTGCCGGACTGATCAACCAGGCTGTTGGACGCGGCAGCTCGCAGCCTGACGTATGAGTCACAGCCTGGTTGATCAGGTATCCTTTGGAGGTGCTATATTGATATTAGTTTTATAAAAATAATAAAACAAAACTAAAATATTTAAATAAATTGTAAAGTAACTCAGGATATTGTCAAATTTTGTATAAAATCTCTATTCTTTAATAAAACTGAGAGAAAAAGTTAGTGCCTTGAAAAAAATATGGCTTGAAATATGTCATATATACTCATTTATAATTAAAATAGTGACTGAAGCAATAAGTCATATATGTGCTGTCTTGTACGAGAGCAAGTTGAAAAAAAACACTTAAACTTAATAGTAATTGAGCTTAAAGTATAAATTGCGTTGAAAGAAAAAAATAAAAGATAAAAAAGGGTGGGAACATGGTAGAAAATAGCCAATATACAAAAACTGTGTCAACAAAATTATTCGCACACCCTCCGTCACTATGTGATGGAGTGCGAAAAGATACGTGAATTTAGAGACAATTCTATAACCAATGTTCCAGCGATGTGTAAATATTTCATTCAAAATGATCTGATACCAGAAATTTTAGCCAAATATCCCCAGTTTGCTAACTGGAGGTAGTAACTAAGTGATTGTAACCTATCCACCGCTGCCCACTGGATGGGGGGCGGTGTGCAGGACAAACATAAATTTTGACACTAGCACTCCACATATGTCAGTTGCTTAATTTAGAACCTGCACTTGAGGTCGATCTCGAACCCATTGTTGATGTGACGACTTATATTGAATTTTGTAACTAGCTCATCAAGATTGTAACTTGCTTAGCTAAATGAATTGTGGGGTTCAGTCCCTGAGCCCATTATGTGCCTCTGTAACCCTTTCCACTACCGCCCACAAGATGGGTATGGGGTGCATAATAAATGAACTAAACTAAAAAAACTAACTAAACTACAAGATGGACAACAAACAGCGTTGTTTAAAAAATATAGAATATAGTTGTGCATTAATTGGCTAGCCAATTAATGCATAACTATATTCTACCCACCTCAAGACCCCGAACCAATATGGAAGCAGCAAGTGAAAGTATGGGCCAATAGGCCTTCTGCAGTTCCCATTGTTCACCCATTGTTCAGTGTTCTGTCTTGTGTTTGTCATAAGTTTGTTCACCTCATCCAAAACTTTGTACCACATCACCTCACCCAAAATGAGTATAAGTTCGATGAATCTGTGTGTAAATTCTAGCTTGTATCTTGTAACTTTATCATTACCTAGCCTCAGAACTTTACATTTATTGAATTGATTACCAACTTGGACTGCCTTTGAGCAGCCTGAGGGCAGCAATATCCCAGGAACATCAACCAAATTTCGGAGACTTGAGGCAAAGTGAAATTCACACCAGTTACTCCATCTATCATCGTTCTATTATGCAGGAAGAACCGCACGTCTATGGGTCATCCAATAAGGTTAGCAGACTTATAGATGTTACCACTGCTAGGCTTAGGCTCGGCTACAAGTACCTCTGGGAATTTGCAACATCTGCTGATGTAGATTTTACTAAATGTAAACTCTGTCAGCAGAACTACTCGCATACTTTGCGTCATTATATAATGGAATGTGAAAAAAAATCGCGGAATTTAGAGATAACACCATCAATAGTGTCCAAGAAATGTGTAAGTACTTCATTCATAATGATGTGCTGCCCGAAATCTTAGCGAAGTATCCAAAATTTGCTTACTGTAGGTAATGCATGCACATGACTGTAAAGCTGCCGCCCAGTTGGGTGGGTGTGCAGAAAGACTAGTAACTGTGTGACTCACTATAGATAAGTGCCTTGTATAGTGACTGTTGTGAGCCTCTTGTAATGTCACTTGTGACACCTCTTTGTGTCACTTGTGACACAAAGATTATTGATGTGTGTATTTGTGTGGGTGATTAGATATGTATGTATATGTGTATACGTATATATATATGTACATGTATGTATGAGGGTGTGTACATGTGTATACAACATTGATAATTTTGTAACTAGCGTCAAACATTGTTATTTGCTTAGCTAAACGAACTAGAGGGTTCAGTTCCTGTTCAGTTCCTGAACCGATTATGTGCCTCTGTAATCCTTTACACCACCACCCATAGGATGGGTATGGGGTGCATAATATAGAAAGAAATTGAATTATAATTATGACTGTTATAATTATAATTAATTAAAATTAATTATATAATTATGACTGTTATAATTAAATAAAATTAATTAAAATTAATTATATAATTATGACTGTTGTATATAATATATATATATATATATATATATATATATATATATATATATATATATATATATATATATATATATATTATATATATACTCTTCTATTATATATATGTATATTACATATATATATATATATATATATATATATATATATATATATATATATATATATATATATATATATATATATATATATATATATATATGTATATGTAATATACATATATTTATACTTTCCTAAATTCCATTCATGTTCTGTGCAATTTTATATGAATATACGGGATTTTAGTGCCTCATGGCGCATGTATAATTAAAGGAACTATTGAGAATATTAATGCTGATGATGCTAATTCGTTAATTAATGCTGTATATTTATTGTAAAGGAAAAATCCGCACAGAATGTAACCACAGCCCTCTTGAAAAATATGAACTGATTGGAGTGCATTGCAGTAACATTTTGCACAGATCTTGAAGAATTCGTTTTCTTATAAGTTAGAAAAAAGTTTATAAAGTCTACAAATACCTGGATGATGAGATCGGGCACATTGTGTCTTCGGGAGTGCCAACCTTATGTGTGCAAATGTGTCACTTCACTACACTTATTTATTACGCGTTAGATATACTACTTTTTACTATAAATTGCCTGGTAATTTATTTTTAAATCTCTATATGTAACAATTATGGACATTTAATAGCTTTTAAAATTCTTTTCACCTATTTAAGAGACAAACAATATTGGCTAAGTTAATTTTCACATTGGTCGTGTAGCGTGGATTAAATGACATTAAATGTATACAACAATATATTTAGCGTGTATTTTCTCTTTCAATGCAATTCAGAATAACTAGATGAATATATATAAACCCTTGTGAGTTTGTTTGTTTATTTTGAGTAAAGTGTGTGAAGGCGTGTGGTGTTGGCAGCCCTGCGGGCTTGTTTGAGGTGAGGGAAGAGAAGTCCTCAGTTTCAGTCGTGGGGCCGCCGTGGCGTTGAGCAGGTGCACGCTGCGCTTGCTCATCATCTTCTAATTCTTCCTCCCATACACATGTGACAGCTTAATTGATTGGTTCCAGAATGACTATCATTGTGTTCCTTATTGATACTTCGGCCTCTATGAACCAGAGAACTTTCATAGGGGCCAGACCGACAATGCTGGATATAGCGAAAGGCGCCGTGGAGACATTCGTGAAGGTGAGGAGAGTCGCGGTGGTGATAATATTGTGCTCCCGCACGCCCCGACCTGCACTCTGGCCACCACTCTGCCACTTTCCGCTCCAAGACGGGGCTTCGGCAGCTACAGTGAGGAAAATAGTGCATAGTGCAAGGGCCCACGGGGCGAGATAGAGGCTACATTAAGGAGGCAGTTCAAAGGCAGCGCGTCCGAATGTGTGGCTGGTGGCTTGGTGCTAATGTCATCACCCAAGGGATGACAACACACACACACCTCATCCGGCTAGTATATCCCCCTCTCTCCGGCCCTTAACACACCCTGGGGGTGTGGCCACGGGGCTGAGGTGGGGGTAGGAGGGCGTGTGTGGGGGAAACTCTCCATATGGCTGGTTGCTAGTACTGTGGAGTAATGAGCCAGCTTCCCTGATACCAGGGTGGGCTTCACTTTTATCTCTGCATGCAAGTTGACTTGCAAGCTAGTGGTGGTGGTGGCTAGTGTGGGGCTGGCCACACACTAGCTCCTTACCTGGGGCAAGGTCAGGGTAGGGTAGGCTGCCAGTGTGGGTGTGTGTAGTGATTGGGCCCACACACTCACCCATTAAGGTAAGGAAGGGTAGGGTAGGGTAGGCTGCCAGTGTGGGTGTGTGTAGTGATTGGGCCCACACACTCATTCATTAAGGTAAGGAAGGGTAGGCACACAACCCTATTAAAGGGAAGGCAAGGGGTAGGCCAGGCTGGCACTTGGAGCATGGGGGGTTGGTCCCCTACTTGCCCACCAGGGGAGCAAGGTTTGAGTAAATTAGGTGGGTTAATTTACTGTGGGTTTGGGAGGTGGCCCTCTACTTGCCCACAAGGGGAAGGTCTTG